TTTTTTTTTTTTTTTGGTTGCAGCCGTCATTGTTGTTTGGCGGGTCCGGGCTGGGGATTCGAACCCGCCACCTTAGGTGTACGTACCTAAGTGTTTCCTCCAGAACTTGATCCTTTTAATCCTGTGGTTGCTGAATCCCACAGCAGAATCCCATTTGCCTTTGGCTTGGCAAAAGCACCTTGTCCCAAGGGAGCCGGACCTACATCTGGCATAACCCTGGGCACCATTGTGTGCCCTACCCCACCCCTGCATTCCAGCCCAGCCACACGGGCAGCCTTCAGCCCAGGAACCCACACTTGGCCAGATGCCAACCTCTACCAGAATGGGGCAGGCAGTCAGTGCTTTACCAAACACATGTGAGAGCACAGTCTGGAAAGTAAGATTTAAATAATAAATAAAAAGCACTAATACAGCATGGAGAAATCCTAGGAATAAACTGAAATTCTGGAAGATAAGTCACGTCTTAGGATGACCCAAGTTAACCACTAGATTGCCTCGACAGCAGTGTTCTGAGGACCAACAGGGCAGCTCAGCATCTGGGCAGTTTGGCCTGGGTTTCAGGGTGCTTTATTCATACAGCATACCTGAAGTGTGTCCAGCTCCCTACACATTCACTATACCCCCTGCTGGTCCCTTTCCAGGCTTGCTCAGTTATACAAAAGACTCACACAGACTCAGCCTGTGGCCCATGGCTGCAGAGGTTCACTCACATTGGTCCCAGAAAGGAGCAGCAGTAGAGGGAAGGAAGGAGGTAGCATTGGTACAGATACCAGCAACCCACCCATTCCCCACCAGACTCAAAACAGTATATATATATATATATATATATATATATATCTATATATCTTTTCAGAGAGTGGCTGGTAGAAATTATTGCAGTGGGGTAGAAAAATGACCCACTCAATCTAACTTACTCATGTAAAAGAAATAACCCCTCTACTAAAATAAACTCCCCACAATTGTAGGGAATATCAATACCCACAAGGAGTGTGAGGGGTGAAGGAAGGGGTGGGAGCGGCTGGACGGCAGGCTGGGCCCTGATGCCCTTCGTTTCCCTCCTGGCTCACCTGGAGGCTTTCTCAAGTTCATCCTACTGCTGCCACTTGCAAGTGGTCAGTGTGGTGGCTGGAGCAAGGAGCAGTGCTTCACTTCACAATAAAGTGGCAACCATCCTAACAGGCAATGTCCTCAACATCTTGAATCTGACTAAGGCTGAGTTTTGGGCTAGGTGAGGGAATTAGAGATGAATGTAGAAAATCCACCAGTATATGCTCTGCTGGATTGAAGAGCTATCCCCTCACATCCGCAGGGTAAGAAGAGAGGATGATGTCTCCTTGGGCACAAGTTGGGAGAAGGATACCAGGCTCAAGACTCAAGAAGAGCCAGGAGACCCCAAGGACTGGTCTTGCTGCTTCCCTGAGGGATGGCCCAGGTGTTGTCCCAGCCAGCCCTCAGTCCCCAGGCAGAGCTTATGACTGCCAACTACACTCTGCTCTGCTTTCAAGGTTTGCCATATTATTTTATTCTTAGATATAGGGTCTCACTCTGTTACCTAGGCTGAAGTGAAGTGATCTGATCACAACTCACTGCAACCTTAATCTACTGGGCTCAGCAATCCTCCCACCTCAGCCTCTTGAGTAGCTGAGACTACAGATGTGAGCCACCATGCCCAGCTAATTTTTCTATTTTTAATAGAGACAAGGTCTCAATCTTGCTTAGGCTGGTCTCAAACTCCTGAACTCAAGCAATCCTCCCAGAGAGGCCTCCCAGGGTGCTCAGATTACAGGCATGAGCCACTATACCTGGCCTATTAAAAAAAATTTTTTTTGTAGTATGGGGTCTCATTATGTTGGTCAGGCTGGTCTCAACTCATGGCCTCAAGCGATCCTCTTGATTTGGCCTTGCAAAATGCTGGGGCATAAGTTGCTGCACCCAGCCATGATTTGCCACATTCTGAACACAGAGTCAAGCTAGCTTTCATGTACAAATGCCTCTGTTTCCATGAAGCCAGGTCAGGCAAGAATAGGAAGTCTTTGCATTGATTCATGCAACCAAGCCCTTCAGTAGGAACCATTCTCTTCTCCTCCCTCTCTGTAAAGAGGAAAGGTGTCTCTAGCTACAGTACCAGAGACACATTGGTCAGACACTTCCTTGAAGACCCCTGCCCTCTGTCAGGCAGAACAGTTAGACAGAACTGACTGTGGACAATGATCATCCTGACTATAGGAACTATTGTACTGGTCAGACCCACTGCCTCCTCCCCACCTCAAAGATGGTAAATCTGTCAGTGGAACAAAGGGGTTCTATGGCAGGCCACCATTAACTAGTACTCAGTAATGCTGCCTGAATGCATATTACTGTGAGGGGCTGGATGATATGCTCCCCGACAGGGACAAGATTCTGTCCTGCCCTCAAGCTGCCTGCATCCCTGTGTGTTGGTTAATGTGGTTATCAGTCTTAAAGTATATAAGCCATCTTGTTTCCTTGGCTACAGTATTCATTTTGAACTTAGTAATGTCTTGGTGGACAGCAAATGAAATAATCACTTCTTTTTCCATTCTTTATATTAGAGACTTTAAAAATTATACTAACTGTACCTCTTTTCTTTCTTTCTTTCTTTTTTGAGACAGAGTCTTATTATGTCACCCTCGGTAGAGTGCTGTGCCATCACAGCTCACAACAACCTCAAACTCTTTTTTTTTTT